GAGTTCTAGTCCCACCTTAGCCATGAAAGCCAGCTGGGCGACTTTGGGCCAGTTCCTCCCTCTCAGCTCAACCTACCTCACAGGGTTGTTGTGGGGAAAAATAGAAGGAAGGTGTGTTGGATATGTTTATTTATTTATTTATTTATTTATTTTTAATATTTATATGCCGCCCAATCCCGAAGGACTCAGGGCGGCGTACAAAGTTAAAAAACAGTCAAAAAACAATAAAATAATAAAATAATACAATCATACTGCGATCATACTGCGAGTCCGGTCGTATCCCGGCCCCCCGGGGACATCAGCCCCAGGCCTGCCGGAACAGGAGGGTTTTAATAGCCTTCTTAAAGGCCGGCAGGGTGGGAGTAGTTCGAACCTCGGGGGGAAGTTGGTTCCACCAGGTCGGAGCCACCACGGAAAAGGCCCTTCCCCGAGGGCCCGCCAGCCGACATTGTCTGGCCGACGGGACCTGAAGGAGGCCCAATCTCTGGGACCTCACCGGTCTCTGGGAGCTATGCGGCAGAATGCGGTCCTGTAAGTAACCTGGCCCTATGCCATGAAGGGCTTTAAAGGTGATAACCAACACCTTGAATTGCGTCCGGAGACCCACAGGAAGCCATTGCAGCTCGCGGAGGATAGGTGACACGTGGGCGTACCTTGGCGCGCCCACAATCACTCTCGCGGCTGCGTTCTGAACCAACTGCAGCCTCCGAACGCTCTTCAAGGGTAGCCCCATGTAGAGCGCATTGCAGTAATCCAGTCTTGAGGTGACAACGGCATGAGTGACTGTGAGTAAAGCCTCTCGGTCCAAATAAGGCCGCAACTGGTGCACTAGGCGAACCTGTGCAAAGGTCCCCCTGGCCACAGCCGATAGATGTTGTTCCAGATTTAGCTGTGAGTCTAGGAGGACACCCAAGTTGCGTGCCTGCACTGAGGGAGGTAAATTTGCCCCCCCCAGGACTAAAGATGGACCATCCAGTTGGCCTTTGGGAGGCAAGACCCAGAGCCACTCGGTCTTGTCAGGGTTGAGTCTATGCCTGTTCACCCCCATCCAGACCCTCACATCTTCCAGCACCGGCACATCACGTCGACCGCTTCACTGAAAGGGCACGGGGTGGAGATATATAATTGGGTATCATCTGCATACTGATGATACCTCACCCCGTGTCGCCGAATGATCTCACCCAGCGGTTTCATGTAGATGTTAAAAAGGAGGGGGGACAGGACCAAGCCCTGAGGCACCCCATAATCGAGGCGCCTAGGGGTCGATCTCTGTCCGCCCGCCAACACCGACTGCGACCTGTCAGAGAGGTAGGAGAACCACCGCAATACGGTGCTGCCCAACCCCACCTCTCCGAGACGACGCAGAAGGATACCATGGTCGATGGTATCGAAAGCCGCTGAGAGGTCAAGAAGCACCAGGATAGAGGAATGACCCCTATCCTGGGCTCGCCAGAGGTCATCGGTCAGTGCGACCAAAGCGGTCTCAGTGCTGTAGCCGGGCCTGAAACCAGATTGAAAAGGGTCCAGGTAATTGGTTTCATCCAAGGATCGCAAGAGTTGAGATGCCACCACCTTCTCTACAACCTTCCCCACAAAGGGGAGGTTGGAGACGGGACGAAAGTTTTTCAAAACAGCTGGGTCCAGGGAAGGCTTCTTGAGGAGGGGCCTCACCACCGCTTCCTTTAAGGGTTGCGGGAAAGACCCCTCCATCAAGGAAGCATTAATTATCGCCTGGAGCCAGCCTCGTGTCACCTCCCTACTGGCCGAAACCAGCCAGGAGGGGCACGGGTCCAATAAACAGGTGGCGGCATTCATTGCCCTCACGGCCTTGTCCACTTCATCAGGGGTCACAGGCTCAAACTCGCTCCAGATAATATGACTAAGACCAGCCCCTGGCAACTCGGCTGGCACTGCCCAGTCAGAGTCCAGGTCCCTCTGAATCTGAGCGATTTTGTCCGAAAGAAACTGAGCAAACTCCTCAGCTCTCCCCTGCAAGGGTTCCTCCGCCTCCTCCACTTTAAGAAGGGAGCGGGTCACCCTAAACAAGGCGGCTGGGCGAGATTCTGCGGACGCAATAAGTGCGGAAAAGTGAACACGCTTTGCCGCTCTTATCGCCACTAAATAAGTCCTAAGATAGGCTCTTAATAGTGATCGGTCAGATTCAGAGTTACTGGCCCTCCACCGTCGCTCTAGACGTCTCTTGTGGCGCTTCATCTCCCGGAGCTCCTCAGTAAACCAAGGCGCCCTCCGGGGACCACCACCACAGAGAGGTCGCAAAGGCGCAATTCGATCCAGGGCCCCGGACGCCGCCTCATTCCAGGCCGCAACCAGGGACCCCGACGAGTTGTGGACAAGGGAGTCAGGTATTTCCCCAAGCTCCTCCTGGAACCGATCTGGGTCCATTAGGCGCCTGGGGCGGAACCACCTAGTCGGTTCCCTCTCCCTGCGATGGGGGAGTGATGCTCTGAAGTCCAGCCTCAATAGGAAATGATCTGTCCATGATAAGGGCGAAATCTCTATTCCCCTTAATTCCAGATCATGTCTCCATTGCCCCGAGAGAAACACAAGGTCGAGTGTGTGACCACCCCTATGAGTTGGGTCCTGAATTACCTGGGTCAGGTCCATGGTTGCCATGGAAGCCATGAACTCCTGCGCCACCTCTGAGCGATCGCTGAGTGATGGCAGATTAAAGTCCCCCATTACTATAAGTCTGGGGAACTCCACCGCCAACCCGGCTACTGACTCCAGCAACGCAGGCAGGGCTGTTGCAACGCAGCTGGGAGGTAGGTACGTCAGCAGCAAGCCCAACTGAACCCGTGAACCCAACTTCACTAGGAGGGACTCACACCCAACAACCTCCGGGGCAGGAATCCCACGAGGACTCAAGGACTTCCGAGCGATGACTGCCACTCCCCCACCCCTGCCCTGATGTCGAGACTGATGAAGCACCACACACCCGTCCGGGCACATCTCCAAGAAGGAAACACCCCCCTCAGGGCCCAGCCAGGTTTCGGTTATACATGCCAGGTCCGCCCCGCTGTCCCATATTAAATCACGGACAAGGGGGGCTTTGCTGACAACGGACCTGGCATTAAGCAACAGCAGCCTACAATTAGGGCCCTGTACTCCCCTGTCACCAGTACTACAGGATGAGCCTTTTGAGGGGCTGGAACAAGGAATCGCTCTAACATAGCGAGTCCTCGTTCCCCAAAGATGGCCTGCCCCTCGGCTCCCGCCATATCTGCCCATCCCAGTCATGACCGGGATGCTCCGACCTTCTCCCCTCCCCGGAGTACCCCCACCCTCACCAGCCTTCTCCCTTCCTGACCGGACTCGCTTTCCATACAAACCAAGCCCAAGGGTAAGTCCTGCCCCCCCCCCTACTTTTGCTATTGCACTCAGCAGAGGGGGTACCAGGCTCCACCCCCGAGGGCGAAAAGACCCGAAAACGAACGAAGAAAAATTAAAACGACCCGAAAAAGGAAAAAAAAAAAAAAAGGACCGACGAAAAAGAAGAAAAATACAAACCACGCCCAAGGGTAAGTCCTGCCCCCCCTATTTTTGCTATTGCACTCAGCAGAGGGGGTACCAGGCTCCACCCCCGACTCCACCATTCTCATACCCCAAACACTCAATACACATTCACACTCAATTAATATACATAAAAATAAAAGTATTCACATTCATACGCCCTAAATACAATAATAAAATTTACACATAACAGGGCCACCATTCATCTACATACATACTCACACCCATAACAAACAAACGTTCTCTAAAAATGGTATTGCCCCTCTGTGTCCCAGGCTAGTCCAGTGTGGCCGGCTAGGTGATCATTAGGTACTTGTTTTGGAGCAGACCGTACTTGGCCTTATGCTCCTCAAAGACCTAGGTCAACTTCTCCAAGTACCTCTCATGCAGCTCATCAATGGCTTCTCCGGACATCCAACAACTGTGTAAAGTCAACTCAGCCACTATGTTCACCGCCTTGAATTATTTGTAAACATAATAAAGGCAGGAAAGAAATAAAGAAATAAAATGTGCAAAGATCACAAACGTTCTGTGTACCGCCCTGACTGCAGAGAAACTGCTTAATTATATACTGCAGGATAATGATGGAGCACTGTATTGAAGTGTTTAGGTATGTCAGGAGCTACTGTTATCTGAAAGAACAGTGGCCTTTTAAATAACCCTGTCAAAACCTGTGCCTGCTGAATGTTTAGGACTGTCTCCCCTCACCCACCCACCCACCCTGCAATATTTGTGAGTTACCAAGTTGAACACAAGCCAATATATACAGGTTAACATTTCTGGTCACTTGGTAACCTGAGATAACATTGTCAGCCCCACAACGTTTTCCTGCAGCCTCTCCATGCATGCAATCCAAAGAGAGAAAGAGACCAGAAAGGCTACGAATTTTGGGAATGGGATTCCCCCCCCCCCCGGCCGCCAGCACTGATGCGGTTACCTAGTTGGGTAATGAAACATCTGCAAGAAAACTACCAAGCTCAGAGAGCACCAAGAACCCCACAATGGTAGTCCTCCTCCTCCTCTTCTTCTTCCTCCTCCTCCTCCTCTCCACAAAGCCTACTCCCTTCTAGCATTGATGATGTTACCTAGTTGGGTAATGAAATGTCTGCAAGAAAACTACCAAGCTCAGAGAACACCAAGGACCCCACAGTTGTCATCCTCCTCCTTCTCCCCCTCCTCCTCTTTCTCTTCCTCCTCCTCCCCCCTCCTCTTCCTCTCTGCAAACCCCACTCCCCTCTAGCACTGATGCTGTTACCTAGTTGGCTGATGAAATGTCTGCAAGAAAACAACCAAGCTCAGAAGAGCACCAAGGACCCCTCATTTCAACCCCAAGCCACAAGTATTCTCCTTTATTGCCCCCAGCCCACAACATCTCGAAGGCAACAAACTGGATGTGAACAGTTGTTGGTCCCCGCCACAGAGAGCAATTCTGACCTCTTTAAAGGGCTGATGATATACAGACTCGCCTCTTTTCTCCTGTTTTATTTTTTTATTTAAATTAAAAACAATATCCAGACATATCCATTGAAAATCGGCTTAAAACCACTCCGAAACAACCCGCCAAGCCAAATACAACAATTAACACGAGGTCTCTGGATGGAGTTCCTTCGTCGATTCTGCTGTTTCCAGAAAGAAAGAAAAAAACAGGATGACAGACGGTTTAATTTGGAGAACGGGCATGTAAATGCAACGTCCTTATTCCAAAACACTACGCCATTGTCCTCTCGCCCCAAAGCTTAGTGTGATCACAGGCTGTGAAGCCACACCCAGCAATTAGTTGTGAGGCTCAGGTTGTAGAGATGCTATCGCACCATGTAGGGATAAATTGGCATTTTTTGGCCAAAGGAAAGGAACAGGGAAGGGGGAGGGGGGAATGGAGGCCCTGAACTGGCTATCCTAACCCCAAGCAGTGGATATTAAAAATAAAAATTTTCTCCTTTTTTGCTGCAGACTTAAATGGAGACAAAACAGACTGGCTAATTCTGTTAAGTTGAAGCCTGCAAGCTGGGTAATTATTAAGACAGTTGGGTTTTTTTTTTCTTTTTGCAAAGTGAGGAGACACCCTTGGCCAAACACACACACACACACACACACACACACACACAAACACACACTCCATGCTTGGATGCTTTCAATGAGGCAGCCTTCCTTTCTGCCCAGCTCAAGCATTTTTCTGGAGCTAATCTAGCATTTGGGCCCTGTATTTACAATTCTTGTACACTGGCAGTTCATTTAAAAGCTTCTTTTCCTGGTAGCCGGTCCATCTAAAGAGTTGGGACCGGCCCAAAGAGATGATCCTCAAAGCTTTTTCCAGAAAGTACATCCAAAGCTCTGGAACTGTCAATCAGCCCAAAGACATTTTCACCCGGTGCTCAAGAATTATGGAAAACCTCGCTGGGATGGCTAAATCTCTGTTTCTTTTCCTTCCCTCCTGCCCAGGAAATGCCAATTTGCTGGTCAAAAAAACAACAACCGGGGAAAGTTATTTTTCAAACACGAACGTCACTGTTTAGCCTCGCTGGTGTCACTATCTGGCTCCTGATCGTTCCTCCTTTGTTTCTGTCTTCTAGTTAGTGTGGCTGACCTGGAGAAAACAAGAACAGGCTCCAGAAGGCAAATTACAATGCCCTTTGTGGCCACCACTTCCCGCTACAACCTTGAGGAACAGCATCCCAAGTCTACCTACTGATTACGGTAAAAATGCAAAGGGATATTTGAGGATCTAGAAAGTGCCGGAATCTGGCTGGGGAAAATCAACTCCTCTGGCTTCTGAAAAACAGCGTGGACCAACAGCACGTCACATGCTTTTCTGAGAAACGAGACCTTCTTTTTATTATTGTTATTATTATTATTTTTCACTTGGCACGAAAAGCCCCAGGAGGGTAAGGAGCCACAGCTGGCTGGCAACACCAATCTCAAATTGCAAAAACAAAAGAAGAACCGTTTGGCACACTCCGGAATCACAGCGAGGACGAGAATGGGAGGGAAGGCAGAGAACGAAAATACAAGCTCTTGTTTTTGCTTCCTGCCCCGTTTGGTGGATGGAGCAGCCACCCGCTTTGCACGCGCAGAAGTCTCAACATGATAAAACATACGCTGGGTAATGCACGAGGCTGCCAACCTTGTTATTACATCCTGGAGAGAAACTCCACTGTCGCTGCGGTTTTGCATCCAACTTGAGAGGCCCGGCGGCATCTGGACAGTAATTGATCACGTTGGAAGGGATTTCTTGCCCCTCCTTTTGGGAGAAAATCAATTTATCTTCCTTCTTCCCCCAGAAAAGCTCTGCCATCAAAATCTAGCTGAGAGAGGAAGGAAGCAGAAGAGGGGGGGCTCCTGGGTTAAAATAACACCCCCCCCAACAAACAAGGATCAATCCACAATCATTTTTTCTTGATTTCAGAATAAATGATACTGCTGTCCAAAGGCTGGGGGGATTTTGAGAGTGGTTGAGAAGCGTTTTTGGGGTTGAAAGCTAGTGTTGAATATTGTACGTCTTCTTCACCCTGTAAAAGAGGAAGAGGAAGAGACGGAGAGATTAGAACACAGAACACAGAATAATAGGGGCCTCGGGTTAGAAATCTGTGCAGAATTAGCCCCTTCCCTGCATCGTCAGCTCTTCATGAAGGAAGAAACGGGAAACGGGAATAGCAGCAATGACACAAAAACACGCGGTCTTTGAAGGCAGATCCCAAACAAAGGCATGCAAACATTAGTTCAGCGTTTCACAGCAAGCCTGTGAATTATTCGGAAAGCATGAGAAGTCCATTGTGAAATATGCAAAAGAAATAATTTAATTTGCCAAGCTATTATTTAAACACGCTTTTCTATTTTAATTATTTTTTGCATCTTGCCCCTGTTTCCTCTAGAGCTGGGGTCGCCAACCTTGGCAACTTTTAAGACCTGTAGAAGTCCACAAGGCTTAAAGTTGCCCAAGGCTTGGGACGCCTGCTCTAGAAGGATTATGGACTCTGCTAGTTTTAACTTTTAGGCATGCATGATCACTCCCAGTAGTTGTGCCCAGTTAAAGGCACCGGAGCACGGCCGTGAAGAGAAGGTGGCAACTCTTCCTGCATTTGAAGAGGCCCAGAAAAATGACCCTAGAACAGCAGTTCTCAACCTGTGGGTCGGGACCCCATTTGGGGTCGAACGACCATTTCACGTGGGTCGCCAAACAACGCAGTCCGCCATTTTTTCCCCCTTTTCCTTAGCTGTGCTACTCCCTTTTATTCTATTGGCTTTTGAAAGCCAATAGAATAGACTCTCTTGAATAGAGTCTAATTCTATTGGCTTTCAAAAGCCAATAGGAATTGTCCAGGCTGTCTCTGCTCTGGTAAGCCCTCCAAAAATCCCATTCTGCAAACGGTGCTGCAAGTTGTCTGCAGCGAAGGCGAGCTGTCTGGAAGCTTCCACCCCTCCCTGCTGAGCAACTACTAAAACTTTAAGTAAAAGAGGGCCAGGGGTGGGAGGTGGGAGGCCGGCGGGCGCAGGGAGGGTTACTGGCACGCATGGGGCCCAGCGGGTGCCTTACCTCCCTTGGGCTGGGCCAGCTGGTGGCCCAGCCGGTGGTCGGCCTGCTCCGTCGCTGCCGCTTGCCAGCTACACCTCGGCTGGCGCAGGGGGCGGCACCACGCATGCGCGGCGCTCCAGGGCAGGGAAAGTCCTCGACTTACGACCGGTTGGGGGTCACGGCATTAAAAAGGTTGAGAACCACTGCTCTAGAAGTATCTGTATAGTTACCTAATCTGTTTTTTTTTTCTTTTTCAACAGTTTTGGACATTCTCTAATTATCGGCAAGGATTTTATTTCACAGCTGAATCTGGTTTTCTTAATATTCTTCCTGGATCTCAATGGCAAGTAACGGACTCTATTATAGAAATTATTAACTTACCCAAACTTACCCAAGAGAAAAAAAAGGGGGATTCTGATTGTCTGAACTGGGACTATACTCTACTTACCTTGGGGATAGCTGCTCAAGTTCCTGAATCTTTAGAATCCATTAAGGTCATGAGGACCCAGGAAATAATTGATATTAATGATTGAATAATAATAATGACAAAAGTATGATGCACCTTAGCAGCAACTTGATCTACAGGATGCAGCCAGTTCTTACATGGGTTTTATTTTTATTTTTTTAGTTTTCAAATAATCTGAAGATATGTACAGGTAGTCCTTGACTTAATGACCTTAACCGGGACTAGACTTTCAGTCTTAAGTAATTGCCGTCATAAGTTGAATCAGGCTGGGTTTTATAACTTTTATGATGGTTGTTAAGCAGTTAAGCAAACCGTGTGGTTGTTAAATGAATCCAGTTTCCCCAATGGGTATGATCATGTGAATACAGGACACAGCCACGGGTTGTAAATGCAAGCTGGTTGCCAAGATTACTGAATTGTGATCACATGACTACAAGGGTGATATATAACGGTCGTAAGCGTGAGCACAGGTTGTAAGCAGCTTTTTCCAAGGCTGTCGTAACTTTGAACCATCGTTAGACAAACGGTTATAAGTCGGGGACTACCTATACGGCGGCTTGCCCCAATCTGTAGAACAAACTGCCACGAAAGAAAGGAAGAATTAATGAACTATAGTGGGTCCATTCTTAAGCAGGCCTTTCGTCTCTCCCAACATTTAGCACGGATTCTAAAATCTGGCCCCCATTTTCCATTTTCCTAACTTGACCTTCTTTCCACCTTGGAATCTGGACACGTTAGAATATTATAAATATTCCATTCTTACCGGTTTGGACTTGATTTCAGTGGCCTGGTCTGAAATGACAGAGATAGACAGGACACAGAGAGAGAGAAAAAAAATCAGGGAACTGGAACAATCAAAACTGCATCCGTGCCCCTAAGAATCACACACAAACATGGAAAGCCTCCCCTCCCCCCTTCCAGGTAACTTGCAAACAAAAGTCTGAAAACACACACGCTGGCAGGGAAGTCCCTCCTGATGTCTTCTCTCCATGCCAAGGTTGTCTCCAACTAAATTCTAGATTGTTTATCTCCAGCTAAAGGCCAGGGGAGGAAGGTCCAAGATGGCTCAAATCTCTTCTGGTGGAGGTCTCGGTGCTCTCTAAACTTGGTGTTTTGTGTGTGGAGTTGGGTCATGAAACAAGAAGGCCATCAAGCTCAGAGAGCACGAAGCCTATTTCAACCCCGAGCTACAGAGAGATTCGCTTCTGTTGAATTGTCTTCAGCTCTGACTGGATGGTAGGGAATTCTTCCAAGTCTTCCAAGAAAAAGAAGGAAGTCCAGTTGCCTCTTGAAAAAGCACCCGTGGGACAACCATGACCTGGAGGACTTGAGAATCTCCATAGACATTTAGCTAGGCTTATGCTGAATGTTACTTCCATAGGAAGCTCTTCAAGAACTTTGGGAATGTCCGGATCAACGGAAGACCATCGTTGGCTTGATAAAAGGGACTGGAGAGTTCTAGGATGGGACTTTCTCACGTCTCCCATTGTTCAACCCACCTACCTTCCCTCCCTACCTGAGTCAAGCTCCAGGGGATGGACAAAGTACCGGGAGGTCAACCGCTTCCCCCACATGCGTTCTTCATGCTTGTACCCATGTAGCAGAAGCTCAACAGAAAGGAAGGACCACTTCTCCAAATGACCCTCCTGCCCAATCTCACCACCTCTGGTGAGCTGTGGAGTTCCTCCCCCCATTAAAAGTGTCATGTAGTATAACGGGGGAAATCCCAGATGATTCAGGCTTTGGGGGGGGGGTGTGAGGGAAGAGGAAGAATCACAGAACAATGGGAGAAGACAGGTGAATCCCAACAAAAGCAGAAGCTTCCTTTTCCCCCCCCAGGAACCGAGGTGCCAAGAACAAAGGAGGCCGTTAGAAACAGGAGGCAGAGCAGCTAGGAAAAGGTCCCCCCCCCCAAGATCATGCAGGAAATTCCCAGGATACATTTGGTCTGTGGATGGAGACACCTGCTCTCCTACGCTCTGACTCCACAGCAGTGTTTCTCAAGCACTTGACCTTTTAAGAGGCACGGACTCCAACTCCCAGAATGACCCAGTCATGCAAGAATTTCCCAGAGTGCATTTCAGCTGTGGACGGAGAAAGCTGCTTTCCTATTCTCTGGGTCTAGAGCATTGTTTCTCAACCTTAGGCATTTTAAGGCGTGTGGACTTCAACTCCCAGAATTCCCCAGCCAGTCTGGGTGGCCGGGGAATCCTGGGAGTTGAAGTCCACAAATCTTAAAATGGCGAAGGGTGAGTAACAATGCTCTAAAGAGTGCAGAAAATCTCCTCCACCTTTTCTCCAGCTTTCAAGAGACTCCCCTAAACCACGAGGCAATGTGTTAGTAGTGAGGGAGACCATGTCACAAATACAGGCATGCATCACACAGGTCCGGCCCAGCCCAAGGGCTGATACTTACTGTGGCCGGATGCTGAGGGTATGTTTCCATTGGACGTGTGCTGTTCCGTTTTCCTAAATAAATAGCAGACACGTGTGACCTCCAAATGAAGAAGGGATCCATTCCCGACACAGCTAGCAAAGTCTTTGGGGTCTTGCACTACTAACTCCCCCATTCTTAGAAATTCAACCCTGGATCAGGTGACCCTGGGACACTGCAACTGTCATAAGTATGATTTCAGTTGCCAAGTTGTCTGAATTTTGATCACGTGATCACAGGGATGCTGCAATGGCCGTAAGTGTAAGTGTGGTCGTAAGTCACTTTTTTCAGTGCCAGTGTAACTTTGAACGGTCACTAAACGACCTTTGACCCTTTTTAATTTGACCTTCAACCCTTTCCTCCCCAGTTAGGATCTTTCAAATATTATAATTACAAACAATGTAATCAAAATGATTGATAAACTACGATGCAAACTGCCCTCCCCCCCAAATCCAATGTCTTAACATCTTCTAATAGTTAAGACATTAACTTCAGTCCTTCCCAAAGATGAACTGGGACTATAACTCCCAGTATCCCCAGCTAGCACACCTGCTGGCTCATCCATGGGGATTATAGCTCACATACCTGGAAGGCCTCGGAAATTGAAAGATTGATGTGTCCAGCTGAGGTTAATTGGGTCTTCTGCCCATTGTGCTCCAGTCTATTAGAATTATTAGATTCAGCAATGGGCACTGAATCTAATCCCAGATCTACAGGGATACTGGGATGTGGATACCTGCTCTGTTCCTTAGTGGATCCCATTTTGAATCTAGTAAGCGTGGTTAGAGCTGGTGTGTCTGCCAATTGGCCCCTTAAGAGCTTCCAAAAGATTGTACCAGGACAGATTCTGATCCAAGGTGAAGAGAGAGGAAAGAACACAACCGTTGGTGAGAACGGTGCCAACAGCCCCTTAGAGTGCAAGTGCAAAGTCAAAGGAAGCCAAGTAACCCAGGGCAGGAAGGACCTAGAAAAAGTCAAGAAAATGAGGTACCCAACTGGGAACGCCGATTCGGTGGGAGACTTACCAACAGGAAACCTTGGTACACAGGAAGTACACAACGACCACACAAAGCAACACTCCGGCCACAGAACCAATCGTCGTCCCAGCAATGGCTCCAGGAGACATACGGGACTGTATCAAACTCTCTCCTGTCAGAGAAGACATGTGAAGGTTGGATAACACATAGCCATGGACCTCTTGATTTGGTTGAGTAAATCAATGGGGGAAGGGCAGATAGATTTCAGTGGAAGTCCCACTCTGTGCCTGGTATCTTCTGAATGTGGAACTGGGAGTTTAGCACAGTGACAGAGTCGGAAGGGACCTTGGAGGTCTTCTAGTCCAGCCCCCTGCTCAAGCAGGAGACCCTAGACCATTTCAGATGAATGGCTGTCCAGTCTCTTAAAAACCTCCAGTGATGGAGCACCTACAACTTCTGCAGGCAAGTCGGTCCACTGGTTAGTTGTTCTCACTGTCAGAAAAATTTCAGTGGAGCTGACATCTTGAAGAGCTATCTCAATGGTTCTCAACCTGTGGGTCGGGACCCCATTTGGGGTCGAACGACCATTTCACGGGGGTCGCCAAACAACGCAGTCCGCCATTTTTCCCCCCCTTTTCCTTAGCTGTGCTACTCCCTTTTATTCTATTGGCTTTTGAAAGCCAATAGAATAGACTCTCTTGAATAGAGTCTAATTCTATTGGCTTTCAAAAGCCAATAGGAATTGTCCAGGCTGTCTCTGCCCTGCTGAGCCCGCCAAAAGTCCCCTTCTGCAAACGGTGCTGCACCAGTTGAGTAGTCCTTGACTTACGACCAGTTGGGGGTTGCGGCATTAAAAAGGTTGAGAACCACTGAACTATCTGAAGAACAGACATTTCTCTAGTACTCTAAAGTGTTTCCCAAGCTGGCCATTTTTAAGGGTATGGACTTTGACTGCCAGAATTCCTATTAGTGGCCATGCTGGCACTGGAATTCTGTGAAAGCCACCTATTCAGAAATAATGAAGACTGGGAAAGGATATCCAAAGGATAAGAAAGGATAATACCAAAAGCTTTGGATGCTGACACAACCCCATGCACCAAAAACAGCTTGTCACCTCCACTTTCCACACCTGATTTAGCTTCTGAACACTGGGACACAGGAGATAATGTGAGAATGGTAGTTTTTGCCATACTCGCTCAAAACAATTCCAATGAACATTTTGAGAAGGAGAAGGAGAAGGAATTCCATGACTAGCCTTATATAAAAGTTTACTGTCATGCTAGATTCTCAAGTTCTTATCAATCGGTAGTGCTAAAACAACACCATAAGGATTTCCATGGTGCAAGTGAAAAAGCATTTTATATCCATATACTACTAAAACTCTCTTTCCTGTAACCTTTAACTGGGCAAAATGGTGCATCCCAGGACAAAACATTTTGAACCAAGCTACCTTCAATAAGCTAACTTACAGAATGCACCCCAAATCTGGAACCCACGATTCCCATTGTAAAATATTTCATAACGTAAAATGATCGCCAAACAATTTATGACAAAATGTAAAAGGAGTGGCAGAATCAAGGGGTGGAGTCAAGAGAGGAATCAGCCTAGACGTCTCTACGCAGCAACAAATTTATTTATTTATGAGACTTATATACCGCTTTAAGTGCAAGCACTCTCTAAGCGGTGTACACTAGTAAGCAATGTATATATATATATTTACATTGCCCCCAACAATCTGGGTCCTCATTTTACCTACCCCGGAAGGATGGAAGGCTGAGTCAACCTTGAGCCGGTGAGATTTGAACCGCTGATCTGCTGAACACAGTCAGCTAAAGTGGCCTGCAGTACTGCACTCTAACTGCTGCGCCACCTCGGCTCTTTTATGGACTAATTCAATCTCTCTTGAATTCCTTTCCCCCTTATCTAATATTAAGAATATTCCTGTGTATAAGCTTCTTTAGCAAAACTTCAGTTTAATTGGGCCTTCCAATATGGATCTGGTCTTTCGCGCCTGACACGTAATACGTCATAAAAACATTTCCTGGGCTGATGCACGTCTGTGCTATACAATTCAACGTGAGCTCTTTTCCAGGCAAATACATCTCTGAACGTATCGCAACTTTTCCAGTGAAGGATGCCCATAGAACGTTCTGTCGCGGTTGAACATATTGAGGAACCTGGTGAAGAAATGTCTCTGAAAGGATAAACAGCAGGTTGTGGGTTGTCTAGTCTCTTTTAACATTATCCCCACAACCACAGTCCTGTGAAGGAGGTTTGGCTAAGAGAGGAAATGGCCCCAAATCACCAACAACTGTTCAGGTACAAGTTGGACTTGAAACTCAGTTCTTGTCTTAACCCCCGCTTGGGCAGGGGATTGGATTAGAAGACCTTTAAAGTCCTCCCAACTCTGTTATTCTGTTATTCACCAGGTAAAGCTTTGATGAGCATTTCAAGATCAGCCGAGGCTGGCTGGGTGCTGTCACTCCCCTTGTTTCTTTGTTTTTCCTTCAAGATATTTCACTTCTCATCCAACAACTGAAGAAGCTTCTTGGATGAGAAGCGAAAAGTCTTCAAGGAAAAATAAAGGAAGTCCAGTTGCCTCTTGAAAAAGCACCTTTGGGATAATAATAATAATAACAACAACAACAACAACATCCACATCTGCCTATCCCAGGTTCTGGGTAAGGACTCGATAGGTAGACAAAATGCCAAATCCAGTCTGAACATCTGGCTGACTGTGCAATGATCCATAATAATAATAACGATAATGATAATAATGATAATGATGATGATGATAAAGTTGGAAGGGACCTTGGAGGTCATCTAGTCCAACCCCCTGCTCAGGCAGGAAACCCTATACCATTTCGGACAAATGGTTGTCCAGTTTCTTCTTAAAAACTTCCAGTGTTGGAGTATTCACCGCTTCTGGAGGCAGGTTGTTCCACTGGTTAATTGTTCTAACTGTCAGGAAGTTTCTCCTTAGTTCTAGGTTGCTTCTCTCTTTGGTTAGTTTCATGGATAACCATGGCCTGGATGACCGAGAATCTCCATTGACGTTCCCTTGTTAGGTAGCAGATTGCAAACCCTTGGAAAGAATGAAGGAAAGCAATGTATGATAGCATCTCCTGCCATGGTCTCCTGCCATGGGCAGAGGTGGGGTTGGACTAGAAGACCTCCAAGGTCCCTTCCAGCCCTAGGATTTTAGGATTCTATCCCCTCTGCCACCACCACCACCACTGTGGTTCCTGATAGCCCAATTCTCAAAGGCACAGCAAGGTTGACCAACTCACCAAATACGTATGCAATATAGGAGGTATTATACACAAAAGGCACTTTCCTAATACCTTCTCAACTAACATTCTCCCTGACAAACACACCACAAACCACCTATGCACACTCCAGTCCAAAACATTAGTAATCCATAGCACAAAAACCTATTTTGGGAGAAAGTTGCTCAAATATTTTATTCAGCAGCAAAGATAAAGGCTTTGATTGATACTCCCAACACCCGCAGAGAATTTGAAGGTTAGGTTTTTCTATGTTGCAAGGTGTGTGGGATGACACAGCAGCCTTGCAGAGTCAAAAACTACCTGGCCACAATTTTATTTACTTAGCTTTTCTTATCTGTTCTTTTTTACTTTAACTAGCCTGGCGAGGTTGGCAAAGAGAAGTGAAAAATGCTTAGCTCTCCCACTGTTTTGTTCCATTGCTGCATCTGGAATTTCTGACAATTTTTCCTATCAGGGCGCTGAATATTTGTGCTCTCTGCTTATCCCCCAAATACTGTTTCTTGTCCACTGGGAAAGTCTGAAGGGCAAAGCGTGAATGCAATGCCGTGAAGTGTAAGGAACAAAAATAATGCATCAATAAAACCGCAATAAAGAAACCACATACATTACAGGAGGGGTTTGGTAGCACCATTTCTGATTAATTTTTTTTTAAAAAGAAAACTATATCATTTTTAAGAGGCTTCCTGCCTTTTACTGCATTGAAAATTGTTAGATGGAAAAGGCCCCACCCAATTCTTCCAGATTTTTTTTTTTTTTTACCATCAGAGACTCTCCTCTTACATTGCAGCAATTAAACCATGCTGAATTTAAGGGAGGGAAAAGATTGAGGAACAAATAAAACAAAATATAAAATCCATGTCATACCAATATAAAATTAATTCCGTCCTAAAACCTGCTCTTAAATCTAGACCAGTGTTTCTCAACCTGGACCACTTTAAGCTGTGTGCACTTCAACTCCCAGAATTCTCCAGCCATCATGGCTGGCTGGAGAATTCCCGGAGTTGAAGTCCCCACAGCTTAAAGTGGCTGGGGTTGAAAAATATTAACGTAGACCAGTGGTTCTCAACCTGTGGGTCGGGACCCCATTTGGGGTCGAACGACCATTTCACGAGGGTCGCCAAACAACGCAGCCCGCCATTTTTTCCCCCTTTTCCTTAGCTGTGCTACTCCCTTTTATTCTATTGGCTTTTGAAAGCCAATAGAATAGACTCTCTTGAATAGAGTCTAATTCTATTGGCTTTCAAAAGCCAATAGGAATTGTCCAGGCTGTCTCTGCCCTGCTGAGCCCGCCAAAAGTCCCATTCTGCAAACGGTGCTGCACCAGTTGAGTAGTCCTCGACTTACGACCGGTTGGGGGTCGCGGCATTAAAAAGGTTGAGAACCACTGACGTAGACCATACAGAAACGTATGGCTCCCATCTTCAGACTATAAGCACATTTTATTCACGGATTTTCTTTGTTGCGCCCTGTACTCCATACCAAGGATCTGTTCTTGCAGATGTTTGTACTGTACTCAGTTCACTATAGTGTAATCTGGAACGATACGGAATATAAACCAGGATCCACACCTCCCCTTGGCATCAGGGTTGTTATACTATCCTTTTCGGGATAGCCTCCAGCCCCCAAAATCATCTGACCCAAAAGGAACTCGGATGAGTCAAAAATGGGGAGGAACCCGAAAGGACCATGGACGGGTGGTCAATTCCAACAAACTGGACTTCTCACCTGTCAATTTCACATAGACAGAGGCTGAAGTGGTATGCTTGGTGACGGAGTTCCTAGCCTGGCAGGTGTAATTGCCTTCATCTTCCCAGTCCTTCAAGTGGACATTGAGAGTTTTCTCTGACCCATTCTTGACCGTGTTATTGAAGAACCACTCAAACTTCGCCGGAGGCACAGATTCCACAGAACAGAGGAGAACCAATTTGGAACCCAGTAGCTGCTCTATGGTTCCTGACTGGTTCAGCTGAGCAGATGTGGGCCCGTCTAGAAAGGAAAGGAGGTAGAATCAGGGCAAAGGGGGGGGGGAAGAGAAGGAGGCCCAGCTGGTAAGCAGGGGGAACATACCCCCACCCCACAAATCAGCAAGTTTATTAGGGCCCCCCCTGGGGCCAGGAAAGGGGCTTATCATAAGCCAGGGTTTGGTTCCAAGCAATGAGCTTTGGTGGTGGGGCTCCATCTCAGGACCCCAGAAGATTGCCTTGAGTCTCTGCAGAGGTCCTTCCCTCCTTGCAATGTCTTCTTCCGCTGTCTTCCAAGACTAAGGATCCCGTATTTTTCATTTTGGAGATGAGTAAGAAAACTCTGGTGGCCCTACGTCCACCACAAAGCAGGAAGAAAGGCCCGTCAAAGGGGAGATTACTTACATGCCAGTGTAAGTATACTGGGGTTGCTTTGGACAGTGCTGAACAGATTCCGGGCCGTACAGGTATAGCTCCCTGCATCTTCTTGTTGGAATTTGCGCAGTGTGAGGGTTCGGTTGTCATGGTCAAATTCTGCATTTCTCGGGAAAGGTTTATTGTCCTTGGACCAGGTGACGTTGACTGTGGGGCTCCTGGAGGTGTTACAGTTCAGCACGATAGGTTCATTCTCGGCCACAAAAGATTGCGAAGGCCACAGGATTGGCTCTGAGAGGTTTTCTGCACACAAAATACAACAAGGGTCATCTAGGATTCTAGGGGGGTACTTACGCCTTCCGATACTTGGCTCTCCAGCAAGGTCACCATCTAGGATCGTCAAGAGTTGGGACGTTTTGAGAGCTCTCCTCTCTTTGGAGAAGCTTACAAAAGACTCCGGGGTCTCAAAAGGTGGGTGAGTTACTTTACCACCCCTCCCCTTCAAGCCAACATGGCCGACGGACCACGTCAGGGAGATGGTGAGCACCAACAACTTTCTGCTAAGAAGTTCCTGCAAGAATCCTAGATTTGGGTCCGCTTCTACAGAACGAGCAAGCCGTACGCCAGGTTGGGTTGGGTTGAGGATAAGTCCTGCTGCCCGCTTTGAAACTGACAATGAAGTGGAATCATTAAGCACGAGCTTTCAGAAAACGGGATTATAATGGTTTCTTTCCTTCGCTTCAACCGAACGGGCTGGACATTCTCTTATAGTGGTGCAGCAGTTAAGAGTGCAGTACTGCAGGCCACTTTAGCTGACTGTGTTCAGCAGGTCAGCGGTTCAAATCTCACCGGCTCAAGGTTGACTCAGCCTTCCATCCTTCCGGGGTAGGTAAAATGAGGACCCAGATTGTTGGGGGCAATGGAAATATATATATATATATATATATATATATATATATATATATATATATATATATATACACACACACACACACACACACATACATTGCTTATTGGTGTACACCGCTTAGAGAGTGCTTGCACTTAAAGCAGTATATAAGTCTCATAAATAAATAAATAGTAGTTACAAGGAGGTGCCTGGTTCCTTTTCTTGATAAGGACGAGGAGAGCCAAGGATTGAAGGAGGATGCTGGACATTTTTTTTAAAAAAAAAAAAATATTTTAATGTGAAACAGGACACGGAGGAGGGAGGGCAGAAAAGGGTGGGCTCCCTTCTTATCAGGTCTGTTTCTGGACTTGCCATTCTTGGGGGTCCCGCTGCCCCCCAGCCTTGCAGGAGGAGCTAAAACGGACAAAGACAGTTGAAACTTCTCGTTCTCTGAACCTGCTTCATTGGCCACAGGCATCCAGAGAGTGGCAGCAGGTAAAAAACGTGTGTGTGTGTGTGTGTTAGGCCAGGGCTTTTCAACCTTTTCACCCATTGTACCACTTTTAGGATATGGCAACATCCGAGGACCACCAGTCGCCTAGCAAGGGGTCAAAAACTTGATGACCCAAAAAAAAAAAGGAAAAAAGTGATAAAGTACAGGTAGTCCTCGACTTATAACAGTTCACTTAGTGACTGTTCGAAGTTACAATGGCACTGAAAAAAGTGCCGAGTAAGACACCTGTCTGCCTACCTGGCTGCACTCTTCCTCCTGTCTCAGGTTTCCATTGTGAGCATTTCTGTTGAGGATTGGCAGCGGGGTTGGGGTGAGGGGGTGTTTGTTTTTTATTTCCCCCCGTCTGCTGGGTGATTGCAGCAGGTTTTGGTCCCTTCACATGACCCAGTTGAACCTGGCGCTGATCCTGACACTTCCGCTGACAGCCCAGAAACGCCGATCAGCTGGAAAGCGGCACTGATCCTGGCGCTTCCGCTGAGTCCTGACAGCCCTGCAGCTCCAGCCGTCTCTCGCTCAGGCTTGTGCGGTGCTGCCACCGGTTCAGCTCATTCTCCTGCCCCACTACCACTTTTCTAGGATAGTTGCGTACCACCTGCCAGGTGCCAATGTACCACAGGTGGTACCCATACCACTGGTTGAAAAGCCCTGTGTTAGTCAACACCCTTTGGGACTTGGACAGCTACTGGAAGAGCTGTCACAAAATGGCTGCTGCTGGCAGTTGCAAGGCACCTCCCCCCTCATCAATCTGATAGGCTGCTTCCTACATTTAAAAAAACCCCAGTTTACCTCTCGGCTTTTCAGGTAGTCCTCGACTTACGACAGCTGAGCCGAAAATTTCGGTTGCTAAGTGAGACACTTGTGAAGTGAGTCTTGCCCCATTTGACAACCTTTCTCGCCGCGGAGAACGAAAGCAAATTGGCGTTAAGGAATCGGGCTTCCCCTTTAAATTGGCTCTCCAGAAGGTGACCAAAAGGGGATCACATGATCCCAGGATCCTGGGACGGTCATAAATACGAGTCTGAATTTTGATCGCGTGACCGTGGGGATCCCATAATGGTCATAAGTCTACAAAATGGTCATAAGTTGCTTTTTTCAGGGCCGTTGTGACTTTGAACAGTCACTAAATGAACGGTTGTAAGCCGAGGACTATCTGTATTTCTCGCTAGTCTTCTTCAGAAAATATTGAGCTTCAGCTCAACACGTATCACTGTGAATGCCCAATGAAGTTGGTCATGCAACAACAACAACCTCCCATCTATTGATTTGGCAGATCCCACCACTCCACTGGGCTTTACACACAGTCCTCGATTTACGTCCAACAATTGGGACCAAGATTTCTGTTGCTAAGCGAGGCGGTTGTTAAATAAGCGAGCTCTCTGCTACTGGCCTTTTGCCCATTTTCAATCTTAAGAGTTCAGACTGCACATTTTATTGAAAATTTTAAAAGTCTAAAAGAAAGCTTTTTTTTTTTTTTAAATCTAGTTTATTCTCTTTGCCCATGTCCTGTTATCTAACGTTTGCTAGATGTTTCATTTGTTTAGAAAAAAACGATCCAGAGACTATTTTGCTACTGGGAGGAGACAATGGAAGACGTAAATAATAATTATGTGGCTCTTGTTTTCTTGAAGAGCTGAACAGATTCAAAACAATCATAAAAGAAAGAAAGAATGAGAGAAAGAAAAGTAATATATAACAGGCCAAGGGGAGGGAGGGAATCCTATTTTTACAGAATTTCCCTGCACGGAAAACACATCCAGGTATTTTTTTTCCCCAAACAGCAGCTATGCTTTTAGTGCCTCATTTTTTAAAATAACAATTTTAGTAAGCATTGGCATCAGAGTGTTTTCCATAAGCTGGGCATGAGCTGGTTCCTGCAATCAGTACAGTGTATTGCCAATGTGGATTGCTGCCAACGTAAAAGGGCATAATATCAGTCAAAAAATTTTAAAAAGGAGGGCAATTAAACACAGTGGCTTCCATCCAGACATGTCTGCATTAACCAGGATGTTCCCAGGTGGCTGCAGAAACCATCACGCTGTGCCATATTTCAGTAATTAAATTTCAGGAGTCCAATGAAGAAGAGAAAAAAAAACCCAAGAAAGCAAAAAATAATAAATTGCAGCGGTGGCTACAATATTATTTAGGATGCCTTATTTTGCTGGTATGTCTTTTTTTCATTTTAGGACACTGGGACAGTCTGGGGTGAAGCACAAATGAACGGGTGGAGCAGATCAACCTCAAAGCAAAGAAATCATTTATTAATTCCAGGAAAGAAAAAAAAAGCACCCAAAGCCCGGAAGAAATCAACTTTTGCAGATCACCGCTCTCATTAGCTTCTTCACTTTTGGTCTAATTTGCTGGTTAGCATCTCTTGCCAAGAAGCCACCTCACGAAGTCCTAGAAGGCACGTTATAAGATCAGCAGGGACAATAGAAAGCATCACACATAGATCGGTTTGGTGAAAACCTCCCAAAGGCTGGTGGGAACCAGAATCTGGCGGTGGACAGCAGGTAAAAATATGTTTCTTGGACCACTTAGATCCTGTGGGTCCATTACCTTGTTCTTTTAGGCTGCTGGAGGTGCTTGTACAAATTGTTTTATTATCAGGGCTCTGCAGAATATCGGCTTTTAACTCTCTCCATTTGGGGCAGTCTGAATTCTCCGCCAACCTCTGCTTCCCACCCATGTTTTCATCCTGATCCACATCTCTCCAATTCCTCTAAATTTTATACAGATAATCCTTGACATATGACCACAATTGAGCCCAACTTTTCTCTTGCTGAGCGAGACGCTTGTTAAGTGGATTTTGCCCCATTTTACGACCTTTGCTGCCATAGTTGTTAAGCGAATCACTGCAGGGGTTAGGTTAGTAATCTGGCTTCCCCATTGACTTTGCTTGTCCGAAGGTTGCAAAAGGGGATCACGTGACCCCCCCCCCGGGACATGGCGACCATCATAAATGTGAGTCGGTGGCCAAGCATCTGAATTTTGATCATGTGACCTGGAGATGCTGCAGTGGCCGTGTGAAAAACGGGCATGTCATTTTTTTCAGGGCCATTTTAGCTTTGAACGGTCACTAAATAAATTTGTTGTAAGTCAAGGGTTACCTGTACAATTCTTTCAGATGTGTATAAGAATTACAGGTCCATAACTCTTACGCTTTTAAAGCTTTTGTAAGAGAAGAAGTCCAGATAGATTGGCGTAAACGGCCCAGTAGACCTCCTAAATGATTGGAATCCCACAAAAAAAAAAAAAATCAACTCCAAAAGTTTAGTTCCTTAGCCAGTATTTTCTTTTATCAATCTGATATTTTTAAGTTGGACTACATTATGTATTTATCTCATTTTCTGTCAGGCTATCCTGAAAAAATTCACACCTATACAGGTAATTCCTTAGTTCCTTAGCCAGTATTTTCTTTATCAATTTGATATTTTTAAATCGGACTACATTATTTATCTCATTTTCTGTCAGGTTATCCTGAAGAAATTCACACCTGTACAGGTAGAAAATTTGAGCAGGAAACTTAAGGCCTCATGTAAAAAATTTTCAGGATCCAAACTTTGGATGAGACAAAATAGAAGATGAAGCTACCAAATAAGCTGACCCAGTTGATGACTAAGCTGTTGTTTCACAAAGGAATCTGGTGACCGAAATTGCTTCCTCGTGCAAATATCAAAAAGGTGGGACTGACAGATTGTTTCCTCTCTATTTTTCCGACAACTCTATCGCCTTCCATCTCTGTTCCAAAGCAGCCTAGCATTTGAGCTCCAATATCTTCTCTTGCAATAGCAACTCCATATTTTATTTTGGGGTTTTGCTTGGTTAAAAAAAAACTGTAATCATTTTGTACGTTTTTAGTCGGGTCCTTCTTTGCTTCTACTGTCTGAGATTTTTCAAGGACGCACAGACCTAGGATCAAACTGCCTGATCTGGAGGCCTCTTTTATTATTTTTGTCCAATTCCATATTTCTAGCCATGTCTGGTAATGTTCCTTCTGGATGGGAATGCATAGGATGGAACATCTACCAGCTAAGCAGAATTTAACAGAATAATAGAATTGGAAGGGACCTTGGAGGTCTTCTAGTCCAACCCCCTGCTCAGGTAGGAAACTCTATATCATTTCAGACAAATGGTTATCCAATCTCTTTTTCAAAACCTCCAGTGATAGAGCACCCACAACTTCTGGAGGGAAGTTGTTCTACTAATTATTCTCACTGCCAGGAAATTTCTCCTTAGTTCCTGGTTGCTTTTCTCCTTGATTAGTTTCCATCCATTGTTTCTTGTCCTGCCTTCAGGCGCTTTGGAAAATAAGTTGACTATTAATGTGAAGTTATTACCCTATGACAGTAATTTTGAAATGGATAAAAACAAAGTCACATGCGTGTCTTTTTGGAACAGCATCTTATCTTTATTCATTCTTTTGAGTGCTTTCGAGAACTAAGACTAATAGAAAAGAAATCGTCTGACGTAACCTTCGGAATTGTTCTATTTATTACAGATAAAACTTTCTAAAGATGAAGTGATGAGCATATCTCAGTCCTAATGACTGTTTTTCTAAATGTTATGGGAGTTTGCAATGAAAATAATGTTGGGCAACCCCTATGACAAAATTAGACATTTTCTCCATCAGAGAAATGAACAGTGTGGGAAAAGGAAGAAGACATGACCACCACATGAATGGTCTTTTAAACTCCAGTTAATATAGTTTAAGGATGACCAAAAGGACACACAAAAAAGAAAGAGAAATTACAACACTGTATACACTGACAATTCAGAATGAAGAAAGGCAACAATATTGGAGAAGTTTGAAGCGACAGGAGACAACTGAATTTCTAATGTCCATCGTACAAATTCCACAATTATCATCTTAAGAACAACAGTGAAAGGTGGTAAACTCTCAAACCTTGGAAGGAAACAGTAAACAGTTGCATCAAAACTGAAATCCAGTTACAGGACACAAGAAGGTATCTTAAGAAAAACAGTCACGAACAGAAACCATACGAGGAGTTGGCTAAAGCAATGAGATTTCATGGGTGGGGGGGGGGGAAACGAAAACAAACTCTCCAGGACTTTTGACTTTTGAAGATTCCGTTGCAAGGCAAACGATTTAAATCCAGCCCAGTCACGTGGGATCGTTTGGGGACAGAACCCCTGTCAACATACCCAAAAGAGTCGTAGGTGAAGGAGAAGCTGTCAAGGAGACAAGAATACCCAAACATGTACAATAAATAGAACGATAGGCGAAAAAGAGATGTTCAGGGACTGGGTATCAACCGTCCCATTTGGCACATTCAACAAAAGAAACTCCCAGCTCTTTGGGTTAACCAAGAGTGTAGCTTTATTGAAAAATCCATCAGTTCTGGGATTTTCCCCGTGAAAACCCATATAGGTCACTCCCTTTTCCCTCCGGGCCACCCAGAGTTCAGCGTTCACCCATCGAGTTTAGTTTTTTTGCTTTGGGAAAAGCTGCCTGCTTTGGTCAAAACATTCTTCCTCACTCGGCCTTGTTAGATAACATCTCCCCAGCAACAGACGGCTCACTTGCATTCTGTAGCCTCCTCCACCTTTAGGAAATCACCACCCTCTCATCAATGTTTGGCAAAGCTGCAAGTACAGGCTACTACCGGTATGGAGTCGAGTCAGATTTGACACTGGGTTTGTATTATTCCAGACAAGTCCCATGGAGATAGGACATGAGACAGGTGTATAAATTGCTAGCCTCGGAAAGATCACCCCCACTTAACAGAACTCATTTTATGGAGACCAGAAGTCCATACAACCATGAATATACTCACCCAGGACACAGACAGGCTGGGCTTTAGACTGGGAGAGTTTGGTTTCGTTGTTGGAGGCCTCACATGTATAGGTCCCATTGTTGGCAGAAGACAAACGAAAGAGTCGATAGATCCCCCCTGAATGTGTAGCGTTCTTGAAGGACCATGTATAGTTGGCGGGTGGGTTGGAGTCAGCTTGACAGGAGAGGGTGAGATTGGAGCTTTCTGCATAAAACTGCCCACTGGGGCTGATGACTGGGGCATCAGGCCCATCTGGAGCAAATATAGGAGAGTTACAGGTTGAGGAAGGCCAGGGAACTTGGGGAGAAGGGTGTTCAGAAGCCACATTTGGTCAAAAACCTATGAGCTGGAATGATGCGTGCCTGTATTGTTGGTGTGGGGCCACAGAGTTATTCTCGGCATTCATGTGATAATATAGCAGAGGTCTCCAACCATGGCAACTTTAGGAGTTGTGGACTTCAACTCCCAGAATTCCTCAGCCAGCATGGCTGGCTGAGGAATTCTGGATGTTGAAGTCCACAAGTCCTAAAGTTAGCAAGGTTAGAGATCCCTGTTATATAGGGAGGAGCTGCCCTCCAAAATTGAGTTTGTCCTTCATATCCAGGAGCTATTTAGTTTGACAGCCTAAAGACAAGTAGTCCTCAACTTACGAACACCACCCGGACCGGAATTTCCATTTGTGGTGGTTAAATGAGTCACATTCAATTTCGCCACCTTTGTCGTCATAGTTGTCAAGCAAATCAACCGCAGTTGTGAAGTGCACCGTGCAGTCACTAAGCGAAACCAGCTTCCCCACTGACTTTGTTTTTCAGAAGCTGGCTTGGATGGTCACAAATGGCAAACATTTGTGATCCCAGGATGCTACGGCTATTGTTCATACATGCCAGTGGCCAAGCACCCCTCAACTGTGGGGATGTTGTGACAATTCTAACTGCGAGGACCGATCACTTTTTCCCCCCAGTGCTCTTGCAACTTTGCACGGTTGCTAAACAAATCGTCATAAGTCGAGGACTACCTGCAATCTTCCAGCAGCGTTAGAGGAGGTCCCATTATCCATTTATCTCAGCTTCACGCCGACTAAGAGTTCAGGAGCCCAAATTCTTTTTACCAAGAAAAGGCAAGAAGAAATCTAATTCGCCTTTTTTTATCATTCATCTTTGGGACCGACTAATTTACATAGTTTAACATACTCAGGATGCCCGGGACCCTCCCTTGGGGCACACCCTGGCCAGAGAGAGAAGCAAAACAGTGAAGCTAACATGGACAGCTAGGCCAGCTAGCTAGCTAGAAGTGTGTGTGGGGTCCAATCCCCATTTTACGTCATGTTAGTTTCATCAGCCTGATGTTACTTTCTCAAGTTACAGATGGCCTTGTAAGCCAACACCTCCCCCCTGAAAGCCTTAAACTGCGTTTGGAGAATAATAAGCCCAGGTGGGCCATTGAAGAAACTGGAAAATGAAACTGCCCTTTAAATATGCAGAAGAAGCAATTACTTCTTCTGGTTCTCTGGGTGTGGTCTGTAAGCAGCAGTTTGGAGAAGAGACTGGTGTAAAACAAGAAGAAATGAGGGTTCCCCCCCCCCTAAAATAATATTTCGGCAAGGTAGCTACCTATTTCCTGTAGCAAGGAATAGTAGTATTCAGGAAGTTACAAAAGGAGTACAGACTGCCTCACAGTGTTGTAAAATGTGGCTTGCTTACAACAAGGACTCACATTTCATCAACTGACATCTCTACTTAAAGGAAGAAAAAAAAAAAAAGTCCCCTTTGAGTGCAGTGGAGGAATAATTGATGGAACATGTTATTCTCTATATGGCTATAAGAGAGGACCAGGCAGAACCTGAAGGTGGGGTCAAATGCATCATTACTTTGGAATCTTTACGCTCCCACAAGTTATTTGCTTTGAACATTAGTAGATCAGATTCCTGTGTATAAGTAGCATGTAATAAATAGAAGGGCTTTGAACTCAACTCCTGTTCCTGGTTACATGTCCTGACAATTGTCATCTCTGCACAGAGGCTCACCAGGAATTATTATTTCCACTCTGTACTAAATATCTTGCTCATCCTGGTTTGTTTTAACCACCAAATGTTATGATCGGATCAATCTGATTTTGTTTCCTTGACCCCAGCCAAGTACTGTCCTACAGTCTACGCAGTGCACCCTAGTACAGGTAGTCCTTGACTTATGACCACAGCTGAGCCCAAAATATCTGTTGTTAAGTGAGACATTTGTTAAGCGAATTTTGCCCCACTTTATGACCTTTCTTGCCTCAGATGCTAAGTGAATCACTGCAGTTGATAAGTTAGTAACCTGGTTAAGTGAATCTGGCTTCCCCATTGACTTTGCTTGTCAGAAGCTCGCAAAGGGGGGTCAGATGACCTTAGGACACTGAAAGAGTCATAAACATGAGTCAGCTGCCAAGCATCTGAATTTTGACCCCATGATCATGGGGATGCTGCAAAGGTCATAACTGTGAAAAAGGGTGGGGAAAAATCACATTTTTCAGTGCCATTGTAAGTTTGAACGGTCACTGAACAAACAGTTGTAAGTTGAGGACTCTCTAGAGCAGACATGTCAAACACAAGGCCTGGGAGCCAGATGTGGCCCATGAAGTGGTTTCATGTGGCCCGCAAAGCCATCCTGGAAACAGTGAGGGAACGGCCCCCACTGCCTTGGCCCTGGCCCAGGCCGGCTGGGAGCCAATGTACAATTTTGTGGTGGCCATCTATGCTGAAAGGCATTCAGTCTTAGCTCCACAAGGCTGTCTGGAAACAGCGAGGAACCAGGAGAACCTTGAGCAGCAGTTGAGGAAGTGGGGCTGGGCTTGGTGCCGTGGGTGCTCAAGGGTCAGGCTGGGCATTTGACCTCTGCTGCCCAGGGCTCCGGGCAGCCTGCACCACCAACCCCCCCCCCATGGCCTGAGAGGAACAGTGAGGCTCCTCCAGTGGACCATGCCTTGGCACTTGCCCTGGTCCCAACCCCCTTCTGCCAGAGACCCCCAGATCTGTCCCACTCCTGCCTAGGCCCCCACAGGCACCCTTGATGCAAATGATGTAGAGCTGGCCATGCCCACCCAGTAGGCCAGCCCATCCACGCCCACCAAATAGGCTGCACCCACCCTGGCCACACCCACCCAGCCCCCTGAGGGCAACCACAATGCTGATGCAGCCCTCAATGAACTTGAGTTTGACACCCCTGCTCTAGAATGTGGATGTGTAGCAAGAGGGAGAATATTGACCGAAGCAAGTGAAGGCACTCAAAGCACTCGGAATGGATCTGTTCAACGTCACTCATCCATCCCCCCCCTTTTAGAAGTTAGACTCTTATACAAGCTTGCTGGGAAGCTCTTTCCCCAAATCTCTACAATCCCTCCATGGCCAAAGCAGACTTACAGAAGACATTCAGAGTGTAGTTGGTGGAGTCGTTAGAAAAACTGTTAATCCCACGGCAAGTGTAGAGGCCTGAGTCCTGGCGACTTGTCCGACTCAAGCTAAGATTTTGACCATTGCTGCTTAAAGTAATGTGGCCTCCAGCCTCCAGCTTCTGGTTCCCCTTAAGCCAAACATAGGAAACATTAAAGCCAGAGGCTGTACAGTTGAGATAGGTTGTGCTATTCTCGACAATCTTGCCAGGGTCACTGATGGAGATATGATTGATGGCCTCTGTGGGGGGGAGAGAGAGAGAAAAGGGGAAGTCATTGTTATTTGAGTCAAATGTCTGACGTAACTGGGCCTCTTCTCCATGGTTGATTGATTCAGGACTTCAAGATCTAATCTTGAATTACGATTCAGAAGGGGTTGTGCAGTCAGCTCGGTGGCTCTATGCGTTTAGGACAGTGTTTCTCAACCTTGACAATTTTAAGGCATGTGGACTGCAACTCCCAGAATTCCACAGCCAGCAATGCTGGCTGTGGAATTTTGGGAGTTGAAGTCCACATGCCTTAAAATTGTCAAGGTTGAGAAACACTGGTTTAGGATATGTTGGTCAACCAGGTGTTGTAACCGTGAGATACAAAGCCATGTTTACAGAGCAAAAAAAGATGGGAGAACTTTGATACAGGTCAATTGTCTTCTTCTGGACTGCAAGATTTTATCAAAAATATCTCAAATGTTCCATAGAGGACGATGGCTAAAATGGGAAGTTGGGAAAAACCGAGGCCAACATTAGGTTCCACCGGAAATTTAGCAATTAAAAAAAAAGTATAAGGTTTATGTTTTCAGGAACAATATAATCTGTTGCTTCACTGGAAAACAATAATAAAGGGTTTGTGAACCACTTCTGAGACATTCAACAACCACGAAGGAGGAAACTGATGGAGATAAATCTCAAAAAATGAGGCAACTTGGAGGCAGATAAATGAATGGAAGAATATCGAACACTTATAGAATCAGAGTGAATATCAGTGGATGGCCTTGAATTCCCAGCCAGAGACTGGCCTGGTTGGAAGCAATCAGTGCCAAAGATGTAAACGAAACAGGGATAAAGAGAGAGTACACAAAAAAGAAGAAAGACTAACAAAAATTGCACAACTGTTTTAACTATTTGGGTTCTCACACTGCGAGGGAAGAAAATACAAGGTCACAGTATTGGAAAACACAAGGCAAAGAACTCAGTTTGACTGACTTATCAGAACTGGCTCAAAATAAGCCCGTTTCTGAACTGCAGGGACCATAAAGGGGAAGCTTTGATGGTGACAAGTTGAAGCAACAACATGTAAAGATCTCATTTCTGCTGGAATGACTTTCGGCCCTTAGAGGAATCAGATGAAATCTAGTCTACCAAAGATCATAGATATTGAAGAAGAAAAGGAATCAAAACAGAAGAGGAACACTCTGTTGAGGTAATCATGGTAAGGTCCCAGAACGGAGTACCATGATAGGAAAACTCAAACAAAAATGCAGGAACGCTCAAAATCAAATCCATGCACAGCTCTGAAAAGGATGTTTCAAGATGATAGGAAGCCAAGACAGAATCACACCAAAAAGGCACCCAGAGAAATCACCCACAGCAAATCTTTTCAAAAGATTTGAGTAAGCTTGGCCATCCAAGCTACTCACCCCGGACGCTGATCTCCAGCATGGTGTCGTTCGAAAGTCCACTTTCAACATTGGTAACTTTACAGGTATAGTTTCCAGCGCTCTTCAGAGTAAGACGCTGGACCAGGTGAGAATTGCTCTGATGTTCCAGAAGCTGCCCGTTAAGATACCAATAAAATTTTGCAGGTGGATTAGAGATGGCAGAGCAGGAGAGATTGAGAGTGGAATGCTCATGGTAAACCTGTTGTAGGGGGCTGATTACGGGGCACTCAGGCCCGTCTGGAGCAAACACAGGAAAGTCGTATATTGAAAAAGCTACTTAGAAAACCACCAGTGCTATTACGGCATTATGTCTGAAAACGGGATGGGACAACTCACTGCAACCGTGGGACAAACTCGCTGCGGGACAATTCAACAAATACAAAAGTTAAATTAATGTCGACGGACCCGTGGCCAATGACAATAAAGAAAATCAATCCATAAATAAAAGAGCTACAATAATTTAGATGAAAACATGGTCACCAATAATAAAAGTACCTGATGAAATGATTAATACAGCACTGAATTGTCTCGCAGTGAGTTGTGCTAAACCCATCTAAAAATACAATCCTACATTTTTGGTGTAACCATACATTGGCTCTATAGGGAGAAATCCCAAGGAGTGGAAGACCAAGGGGATATCTGAATAAAACCTAAGAACAACAATCACCTCTTAAAATGTTACTTGGCTCAGTTTTCTGGGTCGTCTTTTATTCCTTGCTCGTTTTTTAAGCTCAAAGCTTTAATTCAAGCTAATTCCAAGCTCAGTGAAGAGGCTGGTTGCTTCTGAGTTTTACTTTAGCAGCCATTTGAGGAGCAAAGAGCTGGTTAGATGGTCCTTTGAGACAGGCTGAGCTGAAGGAGAATGAATAGCCCAAAATCACCCGGCTGGTTTTCATGGCTAAGGTGGCACTTGGACTCACGATCTCCCACTTTCTAGCATGGTGTCTTAACCACTAGACCAGAGGTCCCCAACCTTTTGGGCACCAGGGACCGGTTTCACGGAGAGAGGTTTTTCCACGGATGGGAGAGTGCGTGATTTTGTGTGCTGCCTGCATCCCACAGATGGGGCTTTGCTTGTTTGTGCGGACCAGTTGCTGGCATGCTGCAGCCCAATACTGGTCCATGGACCAGGGGTTGGGGACCTCTGCACTAGACCCAATTGGCTCTTTATGCCTCTTGGCTGTTGGTAATCAATGACAGGACTGGATCCTGAATTCAAATCACCAACATTTCCTGCCTTCAGGCTGAGTGTGAATTTCATTTGACTCCCTGGGCTGAAAGAATAATTGCCACGTAGGACAGGTCAGGAAAAAAAATAAACTAAATAGAAGGGCCAAAGTCTCATCCTTCCCTGGATGCAGATTAACCAGAAATCAGCCATTCCAAGAAAAGACAGAGAGAGACTAGAACCAATCACAATGGCCAAGATAGCAAATTTATTTGAGGCTGGTTCTCCTCCCTTCTAAGGCCAGCTGTCTTCAGTTAGCCAGGGAGAAAAGAGTGTCAAAAGGCATTTATAATGGCACCTCAGCACTCAGCTGCTTTGAAACACATCAAATTTGGTACTCAACACCTCTTGCTGAAAAAAATGGTCCCGGTACTTGTCATTTGTTTGGTATTCAATAGGCAAGCTAGAACTTGTCAATGTCAGCTGCCTCATGACTCGCTATCCTTTCACACAGTAGCTCTTGCCCTGTGCATAACCTCTTGCAGCCTTATCTTAGCTTCCATGGTCATTTTGTGTAGTTTTGCACAGTGAAGTTTTTATTTTATTTAAGTATATATTACCGTATTTTCCGGCGTATAAGACGACTTTCTAAACCATGCAAATCTTCTCCGAACCCGGGGGGTCATCTTATATGCCGAGTCGTCTTATATGCCGGAAAATACGGTAATTGCTAGCTTTATATCTCACCCTATCTTTTTATATATTGCCTTAAAAATGTGCATTGTCTTTAGTTTAGGAATGCATTGCATATATTCACATTCTTCCCCATGGGAAAATTGGTTTGGTTCTCATTGTTTTTGTTACTCATGGCGCCTCCCGGAGCCAATTAACGACAAGTACTGGGGTACCACTGTATCTCCTATCAAGGGTCTATTAAATGTAAAGATTTCCCCTGTCCAGTTGTGTCTGACTCTAGGGCACATGGCTCATCTCTTTCTTGGCCGAGAGAGCCAGGATTATCTGAAGACATTTCGGTGGTCCTGTGGCCAGCATGATATGGAATGTCCCACCAAAGTGATACCTATTTATCTACTCGCAGCTGCATGCTTTCAGATTGCTAAGTGGACAGGAGCTGGAGCAAGGAACGGGAACTCACCCCGTCGTGCGATGCTCGGATCTGGAACCTGGGCTGTCAGCTTTCCAGCTGACAAGCTCAGTGTCTTGAACCTCTGAGCTATCCCATTCCCGGAGGGTCAATTAAAAGGGGCCAACTGGTGGTTAGCCCTTGGCTGGATGGGAAGGGACATCTCACCGCCTCCAGCCTCAACTTACAGAAGATTTCAAGCCGGTGAGGCTCGCTGCTGTTGGCAGAGAAGCTATTTTGCCCAGAACAGGTATAGCTAGCTGCGTCACTCCGAGCAGTTGAAAGGAGTGTGAGGGTCTGGCCGTGGTTCTCCAAAAGGACCTTCTCTCCTCCTTCAATCGGTTGGCCTGCCTTCAACCAGGAGTAGGAAACATTGAAACCCAAAGAGGAACACCGAAAAGTGACAGGATGGTTTTCTACCACATGAGAAGGCCCGGTGATGGTGACTTTAAGGACAGCACCTGTGAGGATAGAAAAGGGGCAGAAGAGGCTCCAGGTTGCTGGGGAGTCAAATCATCCACCCCCACCACCAATTTTATGCAGATGGCAAAGTCCAAGGAAAGAACCAAACCCCTTTTACAAACAGACAGATACCAACAGTCACAAAGACAAACAATGTGGGAAAAATCACAGAGAAACACATTGTAGGACTATAGTATTTTAACAGCTGCAGGAGAAGCTCAGAGGCAGAGAAATACAGGAAGTCCTTGACTTACAACAGTTTGTTTAGTACTGTTTCAAGTTACAATTGACTGTTTTTCACACTTACGACCGTTGCAGCATCCCCATGATCACAGGATCAAAATTCAAATGCTTGACAACTGACTCGTACTTATGATGATTGCAATGTCCCTGGGTCATGTTTGTTCTGACAAGCAAAGTCAACGGGGAAGCCTGATTCGCTTAACAACTGTGTTAATAACTTAACAATTGCAAGGATTCCCGTAACAATGGTGGCAGGAAAGATCATAAAATGGGCAAAAACTCACTTAACAACTATCTTGCTTAACGATGGAAATTTTGAGCTCAGTTGTGGTCATAAATCAAGGACTCCCTGTAGAAGGACTTAAAAATAGGGGGAAAGTAGCCAACAAACCAAGTCATCAGGGCAGAATCTACTTTGAAAAGCTCTTTGTTTAGACGGGGGCAACATGAGACGGAGGCCGATCCTACGGAGTGGAGTGGAGACCACTTAGGAAGACAACAGATCCCAGCAAGCACAGAGAATGTGTAAAGAATTCGCACCTTCGCACGAAGGAGATACCGAAAACCCTTTGCCAAATGCCTTATTTTTTTTCCTTTTTATTGCTCAGTTTGTTCATTTTTTTATGGACCCAGTAAAACAAGCAACGGATCAATAAAACACACCTTAAAAGGCAGAGAAACCAAAAGTGAAACCATGAAACCAAAAAACAAAAAACAAAAAAACCGACTGACCAATTCTGGAAAGTTATAGCTAAGGATGGAAAGCTGGCAATCTTTCCAGCCCTTGGCCCAGTTAACAATCAGCATTGATGCAAGGCGTAGGCATTTTATGAGTTGCCATTAAAAGAATATAACTTTGCATTTACTACTGCGCAATTCTTCTACTGCTTTCCCTCCAGGATTAGTACATTTAGGAAGATCTACAGCAGAGGTCCCCAACATTTTGGGCACCAGGGACCAGTTCCGTGGAGAGAGGTTTTTCCGTAGACCGGAGGATGCATGGTTTTGTGTGCTGCCTGCCTCCCACAGAGAATAGAATAGAGGTGGAAGGGACCTTGGAGGTTTTCTACTCCACCTCCCCAGCTCCTAACAGGAGACCCTATATCAGTGGTTCTCAACCTGTGGGTGGGGACCCCATTTGGGGTCGAACGACCATTTCACGGGGGTTGCCAAACAACGCAGTCCGCCATTTTTCCCCCCTTTTCCTTAGCTGTGCTACTCCCTTTTATTCTATTGGCTTTTGAAAGCCAATAGAATAGACTCTCTTGAATAGAGTCTAATTCTATTGGCTTTCAAAAGCCAATAGGAATTGTCCAGGCTGTCTCTGCCCTGCTGAGCCCGCCAAAAGTCCCATTCTGCAAACGGTGCTGCACCAGTTGAGTAGTCCTCGACTTACGACCGGTTGAGTAGTCCTCGACTTACAACCGGTTGGGGGGGGGGGTCGCGGCATTAAAAAGATTGAGAGCCACTGCTCTATATCATTTCAGACAAGTGGTTGTCCAGTCTCTTCTTAAAAACCTTCAGTGATGAAGCACCCACAGCGTCTGAAGGCAAGCTGTTCCTTGTGTATGTGGACCGGTTGCTGGTGTGCCGTGGCCCGGTACTGGTCCACAGATTGGGAGTTGGGGACCCCTGGTCTACAGTCAAATGGTGGTCTCAGTCAGTTGATCAAAGCCCTTCCTGGGTTTTTGATGCCCATCGTTGACACAACTCTCACCGGTTTGTTTTGTACACCTTATAAAATTCTTATGTTTCTGGAAAAACCAAATTTGACTTTTTAATGGTTTCGGCTTAAGATGCTCCTTTCTCTCTTTTGAACAGGCACCCTGTTCAGATAGTCCTTGAGTTACAACCACAATGGAGCTCAAAGTTCCCATTGCTGAGCAAGAGTGAGCTTTGAGCTTTGCCCCATTTTATGACTTTTCTTGCCACAGTTGTTAAGGGAATCACCACGGTTGTTAGTAACACGGTTGCAAAATGAATCTTTGATAGTTGCAAAAGAGGATCACATGATCCCGGGAAACGGCGAACCGTCCTAAATATGAGGCGGTGGCCCCGTGTCTGAATTCTGATCACAGGACCATGGGGATGCTGCAGTGGTTTAGGGCAGAGGTAGGCAACCTTGGCTCTTTTATGACTCGTGGACTTCAACTCCCAGAATTCCTGAGCCAGCCATGCTGAGGGGAAAGGGAGAGGTTTCCAGGCTGAGCCATGCTGGCTCAGGAATTCTGGGAGTTGAAGTCCACCAGTCATAAAAGAGCCAAGGTTGCCTACCCCTGGTTTAGGGTTAATCCTAAGTCCCTTTTTCCAGCGCCGTTCTAACTTCGGTCACAAAATGAATTGTTGCCAATTGAGGACTACCTCTATGTACGTCTGCCGGGTGTGTGGTCGCCTCTCTCAATTTCTTAGCCCCCCTGAATGCGATTACGTCTGAAATGGCGTCCATCCAAGCTCTTTTATCTGACGCCGACGATTTCCCCTCACTTATTACAGAAAAGCTGGACAGAATATTGCATTTGAAGATTTTCTAATCCGCTCTCTTCTTGTTTTGACCTCCTGTCCTGCGGGCACCCTTTTCAGGCACGGCTGCTCCTCTTCTGCTTGCTTACCGAGGGAATTGCTAAGTCTTATTAGGTGATGAAATAACATAGCACCGGGACGATTTCTATCCTCGGGGGATCTAGAAGATTACGAGCAGGATTTGTGCCACAACGTATTGCAGAAAAGCACAGGAAGCTATAGCACTCGGCTAACTTTCAGCTCAGAAAAAGTGCAGGCACTCAGAATCACAGAAGAGAGCCTTGGAGGTCTTCTAGTCCACCCCCCCCCGCTGCTCAAGCAGGAGATCTTATACCATTTCAGAAAAAGTGGCTGTCCAGTCTTTTCTTAAAAGCTTCCAGTGATGGAGCACCCACAACTTCTGGAAGCAAGTTATTCTACGGATTAATCGTTCTCACTGTCAGGAAATTTCTCTTAGTTCTAGGTTGCGTCTCTCCTTGTTGAGTTTCCATCTGTTGCTTCTTGTCCTGCCTTCAGGTGTTTTGGAGAAGAGCTTGACTCCCTCTTCTTTGGGGCAGCCCCTGAGATATTGGAACACTGCTATCATGTCTCCCCTAGTTCTTCTTTTCACTAGACTAGACAAACTCAATTCCTGCAAATGTTCTTCGTATATTTTAACTTCTAGTCCCCTAATCATCTTAGTTGCTCTTCTCTGCACTCTTTCCAGAATCTCAACATTTCTTTTACATCATGGTGACCAGAACTGGAGGCAGTATCGGACTTTGTTCTAGTCCTTGACTTACGACAACAATTGAGCCCCAAATTTCCATGGCTAAGCGAGGTGTGCCTCATTTTAGGACCTTTTGCCACAGTTCTTAAGCTGATCACTACAGCTGCTAAATGAAACATGCAGTTGTTAAGCCAATTGGGCTTCCTCTGTTGACTCTACCCGTTGGAAGCCAGCTGGGAGGGTTACAAATAATGACCACATGAGCCCAGGACAGGGCAACCCTCATAAATACATGCCAGTTGCCAAGGGGTGAATTTTGATCACGGGATCATGGGGATGCTGCAACGGTGGAAAGTGTGAAAAATGATTATAAATGACTTTCTACATTGCTATTGTAACTTCGATCACTAAACTGAATACCAGAATTGGAAGGGACCTTGGAGGTCTTCTAGTCCAACCCTCTGCTCAGGCAGAAAATCCTAGACCAGGGGTAAGGAATCTTGGCTCTTTTATGAGTTGTGAACTTCCAGAATTCCTGAGCCAGCCATGCTGAGAGGAAAGGGAGAGGTTGCTATGCTGAGCCATGCTGGCTCAGGAATTCTGGGAGTTGAAGTCCACCCATCTCCGAGTGGCCAAGGTTGAGAAATACAGGCCTAGGCCAGGGATGGGCAACCTTGGCTCTTTTATGACTCGTGGACTTCAACTCCCAGAATTCCTGAGCCAGCCGTGCTAAGGGGAAAGGGAGAGGTTTCCATGCTGAGCCAGGTTGGCTCAGGAATTCTGGGAGCTGAAGTCCATGAGTCATAAAAGAGCCAAGGTTCCCCGTCTCTGCCCTATCCCATTTCAGGCAAATCAACCACCACTTTGCTTAGCAACAGAAAGAAATAATGTTATGTCAAGGATTAACCGTAGAGTTGGATGGAAAGCAACACAGCCGACTGAAAGTTGAAACACATTTTGGAAGCCAGCAATGGCAAATTATTTTCTGTACGGCTGCCAAGAAAACAACACGGATGTGTCCATGAAATCCCCAGGAATTTATCAAGAGACCGTATCTTTTTATAATGCAAGGAAAAGCATCAAACAATTCTTGGCACACGTTAATTTTGCTTTCCCAAGCTTGTTATACCCAACCAAGATATTATTTATATTCCTTTATTCCTTCCTTCCATTAGGAACATAACGTACAGACGGCCCTTGACTTAACAACCATATGTTTAACCACCATTCAAAGTTGCAGTGGTGCAGAAAAAAAAGAGGCTTGCAGTTGGTCCTTGCACTTAGGACTGTTGCAGGATCCCCTCTGTCACATGATCAAAATTGGGGCAACGGATAATTGAGATGCATTTACAACAGTTGCAATGTCCCCAGGTCACATGATCCACAAATTGTGACTTTCCCAGCTGAGTCATCCAAACAGTGGGGGAAGCTAATTCACTTAACTGCAGTGATCTGCTTAATAACGGTGGCAAAAAGGTGAAATTCTAACCCCCATTGTGGTCATAAGCCGAAGACTACCCGTACGGT